CACGATCGACTCTGACGATTTCTCCGTCAGGGCATCCGTAGGTGCCGGTATTCGTTGGAGATCGCCATTCGGTCCAATCCGCGCGGACTTTGCATATCCGCTCGTAAAGGAAGACTCAGACAAGACGCAGTTGTTCCGATTGAGCGGCGGTACCCGCTTCTAAACTGCGGTCTTTTACGGTAGAAAACGGCCGCCGGGTCTCTACGGCGGCCTTTTTTGTTGGCTGGTAACAAGGATGACATCATGTCCGAGCCGAGGTTTTTTGAACTACCAGCTTCCGTTTCCCTGAAAACGGTCGCCGCCTGGGCGGATGCGGAGATTTATCGGGGAGATGAAACTCTCGAGATTTCGGAAGTTGCGCCGCTGGAAGGTGCCGGTGCCGGGGCCTTGGTGTTCTTCGATAACACGGCCTACCTGAACCAGCTTGAAGCAACGGGTGCCGCAGCCTGTCTAGTCGGAAAGCGGCACAGGGAGAAAGTCCCGGAAGGTGTCGCCGTTTTGGTTTGCTCGGAAGCCTACCGGTCCTGGGCCATGGTTCTGGCACATCTGTACCCGGCTGCCATGACGCCCAAGGATCCCTTGATATCAGGTGTTTCCGAACGTGCAGTTGTTGATCCTGCCGCAATTCTTGAGGAAAATGTCACCGTTGAACCGGGTGCTGTCATAGGTGCCGATGTTGAAATCGGGTCGGGCACCGTAATTCGGGCGAACGCTGTTATCGGGCGGGGTGTCAAGATCGGCCGCGACTGTGTCATCGGGGCGAATTGCACGGTCCAGCACACCGTTTTGGGAAACCGTGTCTGTCTCCATCCCGGTGTTTGCAGCGGTCAGGATGGCTTCGGTTACGCGATGGGACCACAGGGACACCTGAAAGTTCCTCAGGTCGGACGCGTTATCATACAAGACGATGTTGAAATCGGTGCGAATACCACGATCGACCGCGGAGCCAATCGGGACACCGTGATTGGCGAGGGAACGAAGATCGACAACCAGGTACAGATTGGTCACAACGTGGTTGTCGGGCGCCATTGCGTTCTCGTCTCTCAAGTGGGGCTGTCCGGGAGTTGCACGCTGGAAGACTTCGTCGCCATTGGCGGCAAAACCGGTGTTCGTGGGCACATAACAATCGGGATGGGTGCTCAGGTGGCCGCTGTAAGTGTTGTAAACGACGATCTGGCAGCCGGCGGCCGCTACGGTGGGACTCCCGCAAAACCGGTCAAACAGTGGTTCAGGGAAGTCGCGGCTGTTAGAAAACTTGCAGAACGCGGCGACGAGTCGTAAACGGGCCGATGAAATAGAACTTTACGGAGTCAATCCGCCAAGGGGCACTTCATGGAAGACGCAGAAAAACAGACGCTTGCCAGTGCAGACATCATGACAATCATGAAGCTTCTGCCACACCGGTATCCTTTCCTGCTTATCGACAAGATCATCGAGATGGATGGGGATAACAGTTGCATTGGAATAAAAAACGTCACAATCAACGAACCGCATTTCACCGGTCACTTTCCTGAACGACCCGTATTTCCAGGCGTGTTGCTGATCGAGGCGATGGCACAGACGGCGGGAGCGCTTTGCGTCCATGCCAGGGGTGCGGACGCTCCTCCGCAACTGGTGTATTTTCTGACTATCGACAAGGCAAAATTTCGCAAACCTGTAGAGCCGGGTGATCAGGTTTATTTTCACGTCAAGAAAATCAAGCAACGCTCCAATATCTGGAAGTTCGACGCCGTCGCCCAGGTGAACGGAACAAAGGTTGCAGAAGCAGAAGTCAGCGCCATGCTGGTAGATGCGTGAGGAAAAATGACAGATATACATCCAACGGCCATCGTTGAAGACGGGGCCGTGATCGGCGAGGGTGCTCGCATCGGTCCATATTCAATTGTCGGACCGAACGTCAAACTTGCGGATGGCGTAATTCTTGAAGCTCATGTTGCCGTTGCCGGTCACACAAGCATCGGATCAAATTCCCATATTTTTCCATTCGCGAGTATTGGACACAAGCCACAGGATCTGAAGTACTCCGGTGAAGTGACGAGACTTGAAGTCGGGTCGAACAACCAGATCCGGGAACATGTGACAATGAGCCCGGGAACTGAAGGCGGCGGTGGCGTGACAACAGTCGGCGACAATTGCCTGTTCATGATGGGCTCCCATGTCGGGCACGACTGTCAGGTCGGCAATCATGCCATTCTCGCAAACAATGCTACCTTGGCTGGGCATGTTGAACTGGACGATTTTGTCATTCTGGGCGGGCTGAGTGCGGTCCGCCAATGGTCGCGCATCGGCACGGGCGCAATTGTCGGCGGCATGACGGGGGTTGAATTTGACGTCATTCCCTATGGTTCGGTGATTGGTGACAGAGCACGACTTGCCGGTCTCAATCTGGTGGGCCTGAAGCGCAAAGGCCTGCCCCGCGATCAGATACATGCGCTCCGCGCAGCCTATCGGGCGCTGTTTGAGAGCGATGAAGGCACGCTTCGCAGCAGAGCGGAAACACTTGCCGCCGAGAGTTCCGATCAGCCCCTTGTCAAAACGGTGACGGATTTTATCCTGGAAAAGGAAGATCGGCGGTTCTGTACACCGCGTACTGAAGACTGATGCGATGGCCAACCCGGTCGAAGAACAGATTGGGCGCCTTGCCCTGATTGCAGGAAACGGCAGTTTGCCTGGACAAATCGCTGACGCTCTCGCAAGTGACGGACGGGAATTTGAAGTTGTCGCGATAAAAGGCGAGGCGAACGCCGCGACAAGACATATGGCAGGGGTCATACTTGGCTGGGGTGAAGTCGGACGCCTTTACAACTTTCTGAAGAACAACGGGTGTGATGACGTGCTGCTGATTGGTGGCGTGACACGCAGACCCGACTTTACCTCGATCTTCGGAGACTTTGGTACGTTCAGGCGCTTGCCGTCGATTTTTCGCGCACTCACTGGCGGGGACGACAGTCTGTTGACCAAGGTCATTCGTCTTTTTGAAAAGGAAGGGTTTCGTGTCGTGGGTATCAAGGACGTTGTGCCGCAGCTACTGGCATCGAGCGGGGTCCTCGGAAATGTCCAACCGAAATCGAAAGATTGGCACGACCTTGAACTTGCCCTCAAGGCGACCGAAAAACTAGGCGAACTGGATATCGGACAAGCCGCAGTTGCCGTTGGTGGACGTGTCATTGCGCTCGAAGGTGCTGAAGGCACAGATGCAATGCTTGTGCGGTGTGCGGACTTGAAGAACAGCGGCCGGGTAAGAAACAAGGGCCGTTCGGGGGTTCTCGTAAAAACAGCAAAGCCTGGTCAGGATTTGCGCGTTGATCTGCCGACTATAGGACCAAAAACGATCGAGCTTGCCGTGTCGGCAGGGCTTTGCGGAATTGCTGTCGAGGCGTATGGCGCTCTGATTTCCAACAAGGAAGAAACGTTGAAAAGAGCCGATTCCGAAGGGTTGTTCCTGATCGGGATTGACGGTTCCAGTGAAGCCGAAGAGGCAGGCAAGTGAGCGTCAGCTTACCGACAATCTGCCTGGTTGCCGGAGAGGAGTCGGGAGATCAACTCGGATCCGAGCTTATGAGGGCTTTGAACGGGAGGCTGGACGGCAGCGCACGGTATTGCGGCGTTGGCGGTGAACGCATGCTGAAGCTCGGGTTGACAAGCTTCTTCAACATGTCGGACGTGTCGGTCATGGGGATCAGCGCGGTGCTGGCACGCTTGCCCTTGATCGTCCGGCGCGTGTACCAGACGGTTGATGCAATTGTTGCCTCCAATCCCTCCGTGCTGGTGATAATCGATAGCCCGGACTTTACTCACAGTGTTGCCAGGCGGGTCAGAAAACGCGCTCCGCACATTCCCATCGTCGGATATGTTTCTCCCTCGGTCTGGGCTTGGCGGCCGGGCAGGGCGAAGAAAATGAGCGCTTATGTAGACGAGTTACTCGCTCTTTTGCCATTTGAACCCGGTGAGCACAGCAAACTCGGTGGTCCTCCCACTCACTATGTCGGTCATCCTCTGAGCGAAAATATTGCTGATCTTCGACCATCAGGTGAGGAACGAACAGCGTTGAGCGCAGGCAAGAGCGTTCTGGTCGTGTTGCCGGGCAGTCGGCGCAGCGAAGTTGACCGATTGCTGGGCGTATTTGGTGAGACTGTTGCGCTTGTGAAGAGGGACGTTCCGGGGCTCGAAGTGTTGCTTCCAGCGGTCGGACATCTTGAGAGCAGGATCCGGGACGGTGTCGCCGACTGGCAATGCAAGCCTGAGATCGTGACAGGTCCGCAGGCAAAACAAGCCGCTTTCCGAAGGGCGCATGCCGGACTTGCGGCGTCCGGAACTGTCTCGCTTGAACTGGCACTATCTGGCGTGCCGATGGTTGTGGCCTACAAGGTCGATTGGTTTTTCCGCAGGCTCAAGGAACTCAATCGTGTTTTCAAGCTGGCCAAAGTGGATAATTTCGTGCTGCCGAATATCATCCTTGGAAAGAAAGCAATTCCACAATTTCTTGACGAAGAGGTCGTGCCGGCCGTTCTTGCCGGCCATCTGAAAGAATTGCTGCAAGACGGCCGTGAGCGTAATTTGCAGCTAGCGGAACTTTCGCGCCTGGATGATCTCATGCGGCTGCCGGATGGGCACAGTCAAAGCGACACAGCTGCTGAGATCGTCATTCGCACAATGAGAACTTGAGCAGGCACGGTTCAGTTTCCGGTTCTGCACGAGCGGCAGCGGCGCAGCAAAATTGCACGAAAACCAATCAATGCAATGGATGCCTGCCTCCACCAACCCGGTTCCCGACCGGCAGGGCACGTATCTCGGTTCTATCGATCTTCGACCAAGTAGATCGCAGCGCGATTGAATGGATCAGGGAACGGCCCTGGCTGGTGTTTTCCGGATCTACGGGTTTTTCATGGCTCGACCGGCCAAACAGGCTCTCCCGTGAAACCGGAAAACGACATCTGACAATATTTTCTTTCGACTGGATCATGGCTGAACGATCGCGTTTTGTGCCGAAACCGGTCTTCTCAAGCGTTTGCGACATTGTCCAGAAAATGTCCGACTTCCTGGTTCAGCACTTCAGTTTTTTGGGCCAGTTCCGAGGAAGCACTCAGCACCAGGCTCGCGGACTGACTTGTCTGAGATACGGCCTGTGAAAGATCAGACATGTTGGTTTTCACAGAGCCGGTTCCTTCGGCGGCGCGTTGAACATTCACTGAAATCTCATTGGTGGCCGCGCCCTGTTGTTCAACGGCTGCAGCAATGGTTGACGTGTATTCGTTGACTTCTTCCATGGTGTCGGTGATTTCCTGGATCGCGGAGACGGCATCATTCGTTGCTCTTTGGATCTCCGAAATCTGTGAGCCGATTTCTTCCGTTGCCTTGGACGTTTGGGTCGCAAGCTCCTTGACCTCAGCTGCCACAACGGCAAATCCCTTGCCGGCTTCACCGGCACGGGCAGCTTCGATCGTTGCGTTCAACGCGAGCAGGTTTGTTTGTTCTGCAATGGCCTGGATCAGACTGACGACTTCCCCGATTTTCGTTGCAGCACTGGAAAGACTCTGGACCTTTTCGTTGGTCACTTGAGTACCTTCCGTCGCGCGTCCAACGACATGTGTCGTCTGGCTGACCTGCCTGGCGATTTCGGCGATAGACGCAGCCAGTTCTTCCGCCGCGCTCGCAACCGTCTGAACGTTTTGCGTTGCTTCGTCGGTTATACCGAAAGTGCTGTCTGCGAGACTGGAGTTTTGGCTGGCGATCGAATTGAGATCCTGAGCTGTGCCATCAAGGGTGCTTGCGGTTTCACCCACAGAATTGAGGACGGTTGAAGCCTTTTCCCGAAATCCGGTGATGAGCTGCTCGATCGCTGCCTGGCGCTGTTCGCGAATTTGCTGTTCGTGCTCCGTGTCCGACTGCAGTTGGACACGCTCAACAGCGTTGTCCCGGAATACCTGCAAAGTGCGGCTCATGTCACCGATTTCGTCGCCTCGGGTCGTGCCCTCGATATCAACTTCGGTATCACCGTCTGCAAGCAGTGACATGGTTTGAGTTGTCCGTCTCAGCGGCCTAGTGACAGCGAAATTGAGCGCAAATGCGAGGCCTGCTCCGGCCGCGATTGCTGCGAGGAGAGCAATGCTTATGACACTCAATGCACTTGTGCTGGAGGCTTGTGCTGCTGCGCTTTGGCCAGCCGAGATGGCTGAAATCCGGGCCTGGACCGTTTCGGACAGGTCTTTCATCGCGCTGATTTCAGAGGCGAGCGAAAACTGATTGGCCGCAAGGCCTTCAAACGTCGAACCATAAGTGGTCAGAGCGGAAAGCACTTCGGGGACTTTTTCGACGATTGCCGGGAAATCCTTCGCACTTTCTTCAAGACGCGTCGTCAGGTCGTTCAAACTCGAAAGACCCGTCAACACTGCATTTTGCGTGTCTTCATCAGGCGATACCATGAAATAGAAGATTGCAGCCTTGACCGCGTTCGCATCCGCTTCGAGCTGCATCACGGTGCCGGACACGTTGTCCGCGGCATAGAAATTCTGATTGATTTCCTCTGCCTGCTTGTTGACTCTATCGATCGCAACCGCCGTATCCGTCTGGATTTTCTTTACGTTGGCAACCAATTCATCGAAACCAAGTTTTGCGCTGTCAGTGAGGTCGAAGATTGCGATGTAGTCCTTCGTCGTCGACAATTTGTCGAGAATTGCGACAACTTCTTCCGTCTTTGCAGCGAGATTTTTGAAATCCTCCCTATCGATGCCGTCGAAGCTGTTTCCCGCCATAGCCATTACTGAAGGCGACAATGCCTGCAACCGGGCCTTTACCTCGGCGATCTGCGCGGCATTGTTTGCAGCGGCGGCAAAAAGGTTTTGCAGGGTCAAAACTTCTTCCTGAAAACTCGCTGCCGCCTGACCAACCTTGTTGGCGCCAACCATCGTTTTGCGCGCATTTGTATCGTCAGAACTGATACCAATCCGGGCAATGATCGCCTTGCCGAGAATATCCCCTGCAGCTGCTTCAAATCCGGTCACGGCTTCTTCCAGCTGTGCTCTTTTTTCAGCTTGCGACTGGGTGAGGGCAACGACGTTCTCGAAGATCTTGCGGAAGTCCGTTACTGCGGTAGCAGCTTCCGCAACCTGAATTTTTGCGGTGTCTTCACTTTTCAAACGTTCTTCAAGGACTGCCAGTTCCTGTCCAAGCGTGTCGATGTCAACAAGTGCGGCATCTGCAGCTTCAACATTTCGGGACGCGAGGAAGCTTTCGCGCTTACCGGCAAGGTTTTGCAGTTGCGCAATTGCGGATGTTGACTGTTTTGAAATTTCCATTCTCTCCGACAGGGTCATGACACTGTAGGCGCCGACGCCGCCGACGATCCCCGTGAGAGCAACCACGGCAGCAAAACTTCCGCCAACTTTCACGCCGAATTTGAGATCGGTTGCAAATTTCAGAAACTTCATGTCATCCCCTCGAAGCCCCAGACGCCGAAACGTCAAATAATCTGTTCAGAGGATAAGCAATGATTCCTTATTATTTAGTGTAATTCAAAAATCTGTTTGAAAAAAGCGGTTTATTACTTATGTAAATATCAAACCATTTATTTTTACAATAAATATGAAGTATAAAAATGAATAATACATATTCATGGCGAATGGTATTGGTGATATTTTTTTGCGTTGTTTTTCATTCGAAAATGAATATTCAATAGCACTCTATGGTTGCCATCCTGAAAATTTCAGCTCTATTAACTTAAGGCGTTTGGAGGAAAAATATTCCTATTCCAATTATTTTTCCTTTGCGTAAATAAAAATGCTCCCGAAGTTCGGGAGCATTTGTCGATTGCCAAAATGAGGAAGATCAAGCGCCCCACACTAGCGGCGCTGGTCGATTGGCGTGTAGTCGCGTTTGGTTGCACCGGTGTAAAGCTGCCGCGGACGACCGATTCGCTGGGACGGATCTTCAACCATTTCTTTCCATTGTGCGATCCAGCCAACAGTACGCGCCAGGGCAAACAGAACAGTGAACATGGTTGTCGGGAAGCCGAGCGCTCTCAGTGTAATACCGGAATAGAAATCGATATTCGGATACAGCTTCTTTTCGATGAAATATTCATCGTTGAGCGCGATCTTTTCCAGTTCAATGGCTACGTCAAGAAGCGGATCGTCCTTGATACCCAATTCTCCGAGAACCTCATGCGTTGTTTTCTGCATGATACGGGCGCGTGGGTCATAGTTCTTGTAAACCCGGTGGCCGAAACCCATCAGACGGAAGGGATCGTCCTTGTCCTTTGCGCGTTCGACATACTCGGGAATATTGTCCACGGACCCGATTTCAGAGAGCATGTTGAGAGCAGCCTCGTTGGCGCCCCCGTGTGCCGGACCCCAGAGGCAGGCGATTCCGGCGGCGATACAGGCAAAAGGATTGGCACCAGAAGACCCTGCAAGGCGAACCGTCGACGTTGACGCGTTCTGTTCATGATCGGCATGAAGGATGAAGATACGATCCATCGCGCGTGCCAGAACCGGGTTGACCTTGTATTCCTCACATGGAACCGCAAAGCACATGTGCAGGAAGTTCGCAGCGTAGCCTAGGTCGTTGCGCGGATACACGAACGGTTGGCCAACATGATATTTGTAGGCCATTGCCGCAATGGTCGGCATTTTCGCGATCATGCGCAGCGACGCGACCATGCGCTGGTGCGGGTCGGCGATGTCGGTTGAATCGTGATAAAATGCTGACAATGCGCCTACTGTTCCGACCATGATCGCCATTGGGTGGGCGTCGCGGCGGAAGCCGGAGAAAAAGCGATTCATCTGCTCATGAATCATCGTGTGGTAAGTCACGCGACTGACAAAATCGTCTTTTTGAACTTTCGTCGGCAATTCGCCGTAAAGCAGCAAATAGCAGGATTCCAGGAAGTCCCCGTGGTCCGCCAGTTGTTCAATAGGGTAACCACGGTAGAGAAGCGTGCCTTCATCACCATCGATATAGGTGATCTTGGACTCACAGGATGCAGTTGAAGTAAATCCCGGGTCATACGTGAACATGTCGGTGTCCTTGTACAAGGACGATATGTTCACGACTGACGGTCCGATGGACCCGTCAAGAACGTCGAAATCGTGGGCGGCGCCACGGACGTTGAGCTTGGCGTTGTTGTCGGCCATACAGAAACCCCTTTGCGTTATCCTGGTGTCCCGTCAGATTCGGACCTCGCAATTTCCACCAGCGAGTTCGTTGCCGGACGGCACTTGAGAAATTTTCGGGTCTTGCGTAGCCCATTTACTGCACTGCCGCAAGCTGACCCTTATAACGCTTTGGTCAAAGGCGGACTTGCCCGGTTGCCAGACCGGGCTCGACTTCAATCCTACGAGGAATGCTGCAACCCGCCTGAAAAGTCTCAAGCGGACTGGTCTTCTATGCGTTTGAGAGATTCTTCTCTGCCAAGCGCAATGAGAACGTCATAAATTCCGGGTGATGTTCCCCGCCCGGTCAGCGCGGCACGCAGTGGCTGTGCAACTTTTCCAAGCTTCAGTTCTCTTTCCTCTGCATAGGACTTTACCGCTGCCTCCAACGTCTCCGAGCCCCAGTTCGGCGCCGTGGAAAGAACGTTGTGCAGTTCCTTGAGAATTGTTCGGGCTTCCTCATTGAGGATCTTTTGCGCCTTCTCGTCCGTGTCCAATGGTCGCTGCCGCCAAAGGTAAGACGCGCTTTCCGTCAGTTCGACGAGTGTCTTTGCCCGCTCCTTGAGGCCGGGTAGCGCCGTCAGAGCCGTTTGCTCATTGTCACTTTGCGATAGCCAGAAGAGCGCAGCGTCGCCACCATCTGCGTGTTGAAGATAAATCTTCCAGTGCCCGAGCAATTCTGCGTCCCCGGTGGCGCGCATGTAATGGCCGTTGAGATTTTCAAGCTTCTTGAAGTCGAAGCGGGCCGCGGATTGCCCGACTGCATCCATTCCGAACCAGGCGATCATGTCCTCAAGTGAAATGATTTCATCATCGCCATGGCTCCAGCCAAGGCGGGCCAGATAGTTCCGCATGGCTTGAGGAAGGTACCCCAGCGCTCGGTAAGCTTCTGCGCCGGTTGCGCCATGGCGTTTTGACAGTTTTGCGCCGTCCGGTCCGTGTATCAGCGGAATATGCGCCATTTCAGGCACGTTCCATCCGAGGGCTTTGAAAATGAGTGTCTGTCTTGCCGCGTTGGTCAGGTGGTCGACACCGCGAATGATGTGTGTGACACCCATGTCATGGTCGTCGACGACGACCGCCAGCATATAGGTTGGGGTTCCATCCGAACGCAGGAGAATCAAATCGTCGAGATCCTTGTTCGGAATGACAACGCGGCCCTGGACCATGTCGTTGATGACCGTTTCACCCTCTTGGGGCGCCTTGAGCCGGACAACGGGATTGACGCCATCAGGTGCCAGGGAAGGATCACGATCTCTCCAGGTGCCGTCATAGCGCGGCGGTCGTCCTTCAGCGCGCGCTTTCTCACGCATCGCCTCAATCTCTTCCGGTGTGCTGTAACACTTGTAGGCGGTGCCGGAGGACAGCATTTGCTCGACGGCTTCCTGGTGTCTGCCGACACGGGAAAACTGGGAAATGGGGTCTCCCTCCCAATCGAGGCCAAGCCAGGATAGCCCGTCAATCAGTGCATCAACTGCCTCAGGAGTGGAGCGCGCGCGGTCAGTGTCTTCAATGCGCAGCAGCATTTTTCCGTTATTGTGTTTTGCAAACAGCCAGTTGAACAATGCTGTGCGGGCTCCGCCAATGTGCAGGAAACCTGTCGGGGAAGGAGCGAAGCGCGTGACGATCTCTTGTGTCATGGTGATTTTTTTGGAAGTCTCATTATGAATGGGAGCGCCTGCTGCGCCAAGTGTGTGGCGCGGTCTTAACACAGGCGCGGTCGGGGCTAAATAGTGTCTCGTTCGTTTCTTGTGTCAGCACGGGAAGAGCTGCGACTTGAGGATCGGTAACGATCGACCGCAAAAGAATGAAAATCGCCTGCCTGCGGTTACCTTTGACGATTCCCATTTTGAAATAGAAACTGACCGCGGCAGCGGAAGTGATCGGCGAAGGACGTCCCGGAAATCTGTGTGGCGTTTCTTTTCGAATTTCAACAAACAGCAGTCGGATTTGTTTACGGTCAGTCACTGGGAAAATCAGGCGCTGCTCTGGATCTGCTTTTCGTTTGCTGCCGGGATTGCAGCTTACGTTTTGCTGCCGGTGGAACCTTTCTGGCCTTTTCTTGTGCTTACGCTTCTGGTGTGCGCGCTGTTTTCGGTCTGGCGAGGATACCGCGACAGACTAAATCCGCTGATCCTTCTGGGTGTTGCATTCTGGGCCGGGCTTACCTGCGCTACTCTTCGAACAGCCTATGTCAGCGCTCCGCGTCTTGGCGAGGAAATGAACGTCTCCCTGACCGGTCGTGTCCTTGAACGACTGGAGAGAGCCAACAGTGTCCGATTGGTTCTCGCCGTTGAATCGATCAATGATCGCCCGATTGAGGATATTGTCTTTCCGGCGAAAGTGCGTGTCAGCGTTCCTGCTGTAACGCTGGCAAATTCCGGAAACAGAGTGCGATTACGCGCACGTCTTTTCCCGCCGTCAGGTCCAGTCCTGCCTGGCGGGTATGATTTTTCCTTTCGTGCGTTCTTTTTGCAGATTGGCGCTACCGGGTTCAGTTTTGGAGCGCCGCAGTTGCTTTCAGATGGCGAAATGCCTGTCTGGCAAAAGGCCGATGTTCTGATTCAGGTCTTACGTCAACGGATTGCTGACAGGATAGCGACACATCTGCCCGCAGACCAGGAGACTGCTCTTGTTGTTGCCCTGCTTGTGGGAGACCGCAGCGGGATTGACGAGACCCAGGAGGAAAACCTGCGAGCGGCGGGCTTGGCCCATATCCTGGCGATATCTGGACTTCACATGGCGCTGTTCGCCGGTGGTGCATATGCCGCTGTTCTGTTTCTTCTTGCTCTTCTGCCGCCGTTGACCCTGCGTTGGCCAATTCACAAGTTTGCAGCCGTTGCAGCTCTTCTGGCGGCTATTTTCTATCTGGCCGTATCAGGTGCTTCTGTCGCGACACAGCGCTCGTTCCTGATGATCACGCTTGTGTTTCTGGGGATCCTCGTCGGACGCAGGGGGTTAACTCTGCGTAGCGTCGCGCTTGCCGGTTTGCTGTTGCTGCTGCTTGCCCCGGAGAGACTGTTTTCCCCCGGTTTCCAGATGTCTTTTGCCGCGGTCATTTGCCTCGTAGCTGTTTACGAAACGTGGCGCGATCGCCGCGAGCCTTTTGCCGGGAAAAACCAGCGTCAGCAAAACCTGCCAGGCCGTGTCGGGTCCACCATTTCAAACTGGATGGCCGGCCTTGTCATCACCGCGCTTGTTGCCGGCCTGGCAACAGGCATCATCGCCGCATATCATTTTGGCCGGGTAGCGCCTCTCGGCATGCTGGGCAATCTTCT